GTGAGAACACTCTTCCAGGTTCATAGGCAGCCATCTTTTTATTGTGTCCTCATATGGTGGAAGAGGCAGGAGCTCCCTGGGGCCTTTTTTTTTTTTTATAAGGACAGAATCTTATTCACAAAGCGCCCCCCCCCCCCAAACGTGGCCTAATCACCTCTCAAAGTGCCCACCTCCTGAAACCATCACCTTGACGTTTAGGATTGCAACTTACAAAGTTTGAGGAAACAGAAACATTCAGTCCATCGCAATCCCTTCCAAAATACATCCGATGACGTCAGTGTCTTCATTACAAGGTACATTATAGGAATATCCTTCAGAAATCAAACTCACCTGATACTTGGCTTTTTCATGGCAGACGTTCACGCCTACCTCTCCCCACCTCAACCATCAGGAATACCTTCACATCCCTTTCCCCTCCCTCCCTTCCCCTCTCCCATCTTCCTTCTACAGGGCCTCCCCAAGGCTGCTAGCAAGGCAAAGAAACTAAGTAAATCCCTAAGAAAAAGCTCATTGGAAAGACATCCCCTGAGACATCCCCTGAGTTTCTTGAAGGTTTGAGGGCAGCAGGTCATTTGACAGAATGAGCCAGGCAACATGGTATCCGCCTCCTGAAAAATGATACTTCTCACATAGCTAGGAACTCTGAGAGCCAACCTGCCAGGAATGAGTTTCTCATTTCATCCTCGGTCATCACAAGCGGTGCCAGGTCTCTTCTAGGGTCCATCTAAATACGGTCTAAGGAAAGAGAGCAACTGCTTTCTCTGCAGAATCTCTTTGTTAATTACTCCGAAATATTGTAGCTTTTCGGAGCACAAATGATAATAGGCCAAATGATTCTTTTAATTCAGATCATAACTGAAAAATACAAGAAACAAAGCCAGTGGCTAAAATACTCATATGAAAAATATCTTTTTATTCATAGATGACTTACTTCTACCTGCAAAAAAATGACATTGAGCCTGCTCTAAGTTTCATGAGATAATAATTAACAAGCTTCAAATAATATACAGACTACCTACAGGAATCAAATAATTGAGGGGGTGAAAGCAACCTTAGATTACAAAGGACATCTGCTTCACTGCTTAGATAAGAAAATAAGGCAGAGAGATATTAGGTGGCTGCCCCAGTGTGAGGTAAGTTTGACCAGAATTCGAATGTTCCGGTTCTCAATCAATACTTCCTGCAGCTCTCTCCTAGACCCATGGGAAGAAAATGCATTAACATTACCTGTTATAACAACAACTCACAGAATTTTTGTTCCCAAACAGAAATCCAGTACAACTTTAATCCCACATTTATGAACACTATAGCAATACATTATTTTCAAGATTTTATTTGAGAGATTTGAAAACACATGACTGCACGAGCAGGGAGGAGGGGAAGAGGGAGAGGACGAGGTCGAAGCAGATTCTTTGCTCCCACTGAGCACAGATGGAGCTCCAGTTGGGGCTCAATCCCAGGAGCGTGAGATCATGACCGGAGACAAAGTCAGATGCTTAACCAACCAAGCTACCCTGGTGCCTTACAGCAACACATTCCAAAAAGTGAATCTGGAAGAAGTATTTATTATAATTCCAGAGAATGGCTTATTAAGCCTAAACAAGGGTTAAATCAAGAAAATTCATCAAATAGATGATAATGCTACATTATTAAGCAATATGATAATGAGCACTGAATAATGTATAGAACGATTGAATCACTGCATTGCACACCTAAAACCAACATAATACTGTACGCTCACTCTACTGAAATTAAAGTTCTTTAAAAATGTAAAATAATAAATAAATAATATTTTGTTTGTCCTCAGGCTAACTACATAACGGTATACCCTACAATTATCTTTCTAGGAGAAACTAGGAAGTTTTTGGTTTTCGGTTTTTGTTTTTAACAACAGACATTTCACTTCGTCAATCAATATCTATAGTGGCCTTTCCCATCCCACCCAGAGTTAAGTACAGTATAAAGGCTACGCTACAAACCACCAAGCTTTGGGCTGTTCACAAACTCAGCCAAAAGTCACTGAATTTAGACTGCTCCATTTTTACCCAACCATGCTGGGCGTCCATATTGTTGCCCATATGGTACTATAACACAGCATCATTCTGGCCACCAATGCCTCCACTGTCAACACCCCAACAGTGGAGTGCAAACAAAAAAATAAGCCTGTTCAATGGAGCAAAACTCAATCCAGTCCGTTCTTTAATGTTTCTTTTTTTTTTTTAGATTTTTATTTATTTGACACAGAGATAGTATGTGATGTGTACAAGTGGCAGAGCAGCAGGCAAAGCAGAGAGGGAGAAGCAGGCTCCCCGCTGAGCAGAGAGAGCTCCATGCAGGGCTCAATCCCATCCTGGGATCATGACCCCAGCCGAAAGCAGAGGCCAACTGACTGAGCCATGCAGGCGCCCCTTAGTTCCTCTCTTTATAAACAGAAAAACAAGACTAAGAAGGTATTCAAATTCACAATTTGAGCCTCAACAAAGGCATTATAGACTTCATTTAATGGAAATAAAGATCTTGGATAATGAGGTATTTCGTAGATATGTTCTCAGCTTTGAAACAAATGACAACAGAACTACAGAAAAAATAGAATCCTAAAAAGTAAAAATGAAAAATACATTTTTAAAATATCTATTTAAGTGATCACTACACCCAACGTGGGCTCAAACTCACAACCCCAAGATCAAGACTTGCATGTTTCTCCAACGGAGCCAGCCACGTATCCCAAAAATGAAAAATAATTTTTTTGTTTTTTTAGAAAAAGAACAGGGGGAATTTTTTCTATCACAAAAGCATTTCAGTTTACAAAGGGACTCAAAACAGGCTTCTTTAAGTCATCCTCTACATTACAGACTATCACAAAAGAAAGATTTAAGAACAGCATTTAAAAGGGTTCCGAGAGGGAGTGGTATCAATAACAGTATCAGCTGATTCAAGCTCAGGCCCTTGATGGATGCTGAGATGAAGGCCACAGGTTGGATGCCAGAATGTGTTGTTTAGGTGTGAGAAGAGGAGGAACACGCAGAACTTGTAATTCCGGATACAACTGTACACTTGGATTTTCAGACTCCAGGGAGTCTGAATGGTTCAAGAGGGAGCTGTCACTACCGCAAGAAGAAACAAAGTAGACACCCTTCCAAAAGTCAGTAGCATCCTGTGGTATATGGGCCATAGTGGATTATCATTCTGAACATTAATCACAAACTTGGAGTTTCCATACAGGCCATTACATTCACTTCTACTTGAATCCATGGCCTGAAAGAAACGAAAATCTCTCCATAGGACCACGAGGACATTCATGTAACTGAGAGTTGAAAAAGCAGCTGATCCTTTGTATGAACTCTTAAGTCATGGGATTGCACGAAGGAAGGAAAAAAAATGTTCAGGAAGAGAAATGACAAACTTCCAGTTTTCAACTTAAATGACATTCGTTTTTAAGTTTTTTTTTTTTGTTTGTTTGTTTGTTTTTATGGCAGAGAAAGTCTAAGTACAAAGGTAAGTTTACCTTTTTCCCAACCTAATGAATGGCCTGGAGTCAGCTTTTTGCATGCTTTTGTTATCCAAAACGTAAGGCTACACACCTTTTCAGGTGCTTTAGCTGACTGCCAGCGAGCCCAGCCAGAATTGATCCCTTGTCCTTAGGCAACTGTGTGTGGAGTCCCTACCAAGCAAGTATCGACACAACAACCTGCTGTTCCTGAGAGGCTGTTTTTGGAGGGATTGCAAAGTTAGATAATGTATTCCTATTTTCTGTAAGTCAACATTTGCTCTAGAAGCAAGTGTAAGCTGCAAACACACCCACTTTTCCACAATAAGAGTCAGCACTAGTTAGGATCAATGAAGCACCCGCGCTGCACTTCAATCGTTTTAAAATAGGTCCTTAAGTCTGTTTCCTTTGTGCATTTCAATCTCTGCATGTGAACAGCTTAGTTCGGAAGCATCAACACTGCCCATTGAAAAACACACCTTCCTTGACCAAAAAAAAAAAAAAAGAAGAAGAAGAAGAAGAAGAAGAAGAAGACTTTTTGCTCCCATGAAGCTGCTTTTTTCTGTTGCCATTTCCAGCAACAAATGCCACGAAAGGCAAATTCCGGCCTCCGCGACCGCGGTTTTAGGCAAACAGAAACAGCAAACAAAATAACAGCAAAAGCTTAAGAAACAAAACCAAGGTGCGTTGGGGGCAGGGCAAGAGAGGTGGAGCAGGCGTGGTAAATGGGAGTCTGAACTCTGAGATCTAAGACATTCAGCCTCCCCCGATGGGGGGGCGCGGGGGGGGCTGGAAGAGGAGGGGAAGGGGGAGGACAGGACTTCAGCTGAGGGACAGACAGAAGCATGTGCCGCCGTCCCGGTTTTGCTCCCCCAGCTCCCGGGGGGTGCATGGCACGCAAAATCTAGTTCTGCGACGGAGACTGCTTTAATGAAGAGTTCACTCAAGTTTGGCCACAGGACGCGGTGGAGCTGCTCATCCCAAATCCGGAAATCCTACGGTACGAACAATCGACAGCAGTTCCGTGGAGTGTTTCCAGGGCGTCAGGTACAGCCCCGGAGTTCACGGTTATTCATAGGAAGCATCTCTCCGTCTCACGCCAGCGGGCTGCCGCCGTGCAGAAAGCCGCCGGCGACCCGGCTGCTGGACGCCCGCAACGTCCCCGCCCTCCCCGGGCCGTGGGCCCCGCACAGGGCCTCGCCGTCTCCGGCGCGAGCGAGCAGCGGCCGGCAGCCCCCGGCCGCCCCCGGCCGCCCCCGGCAGCCCCCGGCCCCGCGCCCGCCCGCGCCCGCCCCGCGCCCTCCCGCGCGTCCGCAGCGCTCCGGGCCGTCGGGGGGGGGCGGGGGCTCGGCGGCGCGGGCGACCCCGGGGCTCCGCGCCCTCTCCCCGGGCGCCCCCCGCAGGACGTCCGCAGGCGACGAGCACAAAGGTGGGGAGCGGCGAGCGTGCGAGTGCGCGTGTGCGCGTGTCGGGGGGAGGGGAGGGAGGGGAGGCGCGCTCCGGCCCCGCTTACCTCTCGAAGAGGAGCCGCACCATGAAGATGCAGAAGGCCAGCGGGAAGGCGAGGTACAGGTCCTCAGCCTGCGGGAAGGTGGCCTCCTCCGTGCTCTTCAGGTCCGCCCAGGTGACATTGTGCGGGAGCCAGAACCTCTCGTTCCAGAACCAGGCGAGGATCCCTGCCATCTTGCTTTGTCCGCTCCGCTCGTGGGCGCCCGCGGCCCGAGCCTGCCGCCGCGCCGGGCGCCGGGGATGCGCGCGGCCGGCCGAGCCTGTGCCGCCGCCGCCGCCGCCGCCGCCGCCGCCGCCGCGCCCGCTGCTCTCGGAGGCTCGCGGCGAGCCCCGGCGCTCCCCCCCGGGCCGCGCGGGAAGGCGCCGCCCCGCCCGTCACGTGGCAGCCGGCGGCCGCGCTGATTGGCCCGCCCCGCGCCGGGCAGGAGGCCCACGCGGCCGGCTCGCCCACGCCCCGGGCGCGCGGCGCACGAGCTCGGCTCTCCCGCGGCCGCCCGGCCTGCGCCCGCCGCGCTGCGCTCCGCTCCGCGCGGGGACCCGCGACCCGGGGCAACCGCCCCGCCCCCCCCCGCCGCCGCCGCCGCCGCCGCCGCCGCCCGCACATGCTCAGAGCGCAGCCGCCTGCCCCCGCGGGACCTTCGGGACTCGGCTTCCCGCGCGCCCGCAGGCGCTGCTGCGGAGGCAGGTGCGGGTCGGGGCCGGAGACACGGCAGCCCGGGGGGCCGAGGAGCCGGGGAGGAAGAGGTGGCGGAGAAAGTCCTGCGCTCCCGCGCTCGGGCAGGCGGGCTGCAGATCAGGAACTGGCGCGGGATGCTTGGCGAGAGGCATCCCTGCCTTTTCCCCATCCCTGACCTTCCCGATCTTTTTAAAAGATTTATTGATTCACGAGGGACAGAGAGAGGGGCCCCTTTTACTACTGCGCATCACTACACCAGTGCCCCCCTCCACCACCCCCCCCCCAGGGGACAAGGCCCTCTAATGTATGAGGCGGTACGTGGAATTAGGCACTTAGGTGCTGTTTGCTAATGAGGAGGAGGATGATAGCAACTCACATTTCTGTAAAGCTGCCACTCTAAAGGAACCTCTCGCACTAAACGCCACCAGACCGCACGTTGGCTTCACGTGCATCAGTCCAGACCCTCCACTCTGCTATCCCACAGGCTGATTCTTTCCACCTTTTGAACCTGAAACCTTGAGGGTGTTAGGTCTACACGGGCCTGGCCCAGGCACCTTCTCTCGCCCAGTACCTCTTCTCCTCGACAGAGTAAACCGTGTGGGTCAGTTCAGTGGCCCATGCAGACCTGGTGCTAGGGGTATTTTGTTCACTTTTCTCACACTCATTCCTTTTCTGCCTGGTTCTGCCAGTAAGTTGCAGTGCACACTTCCAAGAGGCACGTAAACAGGCCCTGAACACGCACTTCATTCTCCCTACCCCACCAACCAACACCCTCTTTTCACCCCTTCCTTTTGAAGCAAAACTCTATAAAGAATTGCCTATAATTTATTCCTTCCAATTTCTCTCCCCGCCATTCTCTTTTGAACTTCCGTGTGGGCATTCGCCCCCTCTCTACTGTGCTGAACTGCTTTGAGCTCAGCAATGACCTCCGTGCTGCTACACCCAAACGTCACTTCTCGACACCACTATCAGCAACATTTCGCCAAGTGGTTCCATCCCGGCCTCTTGAAACACCTCCTTGTCTTGGCTTCCACAAACCACATTCTTCTGGTTTTCCTCCTGCTTCATGGCCAGGTATGCTGAGTAGGCTTCTTGGTCCTCCTCACCTTCCTAATCCATTGGAGTGGAGTGGTCTCAGAGTCAGTCTTTTGTCCCCTTCTCTTTGCTATCTACGTTTATTCACTTGGTGATCTTATCCAGTCCCATGGCCTTCAGGGTCATACTGATGGTCTCTAACCATGAACTCCTCCTTGAATTTCAGTCTCCTAAGTCCACTATCAAATTCAACAGCTCCGGGGATCCCTGGGTGGCGCGGCGGTTTGGCGCCTGCCTTTGGCTCAGGGCGCGATCCTGGAGCCCCGGGATCGAATCCCACGTCAGGCTCCCGGTGCATGGAGCCTGCTTCTCCTTCTGCCTATGTCTCTGCCCCTCTCTCTCTCTCTCTCTCTGTATGACTATCGTAAATAAATAATTAAATAAATAAATAATTTTTAAAAAAAATTCAACAGCTCCACTTGGATGTCTAGGGGCCACTTCCTCTCCACACTACTAATCCTCCTTCTAAAATCTTTTCCTCTTGTCATCTTGGCTCAGGCCAAAAACCTGGAATCATCTTCCTAATGATTGAGTAATGATCTAATCTCCTCAGGTGTCTTTCCTTATCCATAATAAATCCTATCGGCTCCATCTTTAAAGTGGAATCACACCATCTCTCATCACCTCTTCTGCGGCCATCGTGGTCCAAACAGTCAACACTGCCCACCTGAGTTACACCAGTAGCCTCCTAACTTCCAGCTTCAGCTCGCGTCCCTGTACAATCTACTCAGCCAGAGTGATCCTGTTGAAATGGAAGTCAGCTCACGTCTGTGCTTAAAGCCCTACTGCTTCCCCATCCCTCTCTAAGTGAAAGCTAAAGATATTTCAATGCCCCAAGATATTAGGCTCCATATTAATTCTCTGACCTCATCTACTCTCTTCCCTCTCATTTGCCTCTCCCTTGCTCTGCTTTGGTCACCCTGGTCTCCCTGGCCCGGGAGTACATCCAGCATGTCTCAGTGCTTATGCACTTGATTTTCTCTCTCTGCAATTCACTCCACCCCCCCACCGCCCAGATATCCATACGTACTCTTGCCATAGTGTTACTCCATGAAGCCTTCCCTGGCCACACTAGTTAACGCCCAACCCTCACTCCCCACCTCTGTTCTTCCTTAATCTAACTTTCCTCTTTGTTTTCATCCAACGCATGTGTCACTAACACAACATATATTTTACCTATTTCTTTCTTAGTCTCAAATATACAGATGCAGGCTAAAATGTAAGCTTCAAAAAGTCAAAGATTTGTGTCTATCACTATTCTATCCCTAGCCCTTAAAATAGTGCCCAGCACATAGTAGGTATTCAGTACACTATTGAATTAATGAAGCAACATTATTCAACTGCATAAAAATCCTTTCTAGGAGAAAAAATATGAATAAATAATTTTTAAAAGATTTTATTTATTTATCCATAGAGACAGAGAGAGAGAGAGGCAGAGACACAGGCAGAGGGAGAAACAGGCTCTATGCAGGGAGCCTGACGTGGAACTCCATCCCAGGACTCCAGGATCAGGCCCTGGACTGAAAGCAGCGCTAAACCGCTGAGCCCCCCAGGCTGCCCTGAATAAGTAATTATATTAAATATGTGTATACTCGTGTGAGGAATAGTGTGGACATAAAGATGGAATCTATCAAATCTGTAGTCGTGCAGGAGAGGTGTCCTTGAAGTGAGTCTTCATCAAGGAGTAGGTCTCACCATTCCCACGTGAGACCGTGCTGCCAGCTGCTCAGGTGTTACTGATGGTCCCCCAGGATGATGCCTTGGCATCAACTGCATTCTTGTAGGCCACAGAGAGGAGGTTACCAAGGTCACTTGACACCTTTGTGGCAGAAGATCAGGTCATGGTGGAACCTGGTCTGCTGAGCCAGAGCGACTCCCTCCATCGCTGCTTCTCATCCTTCCTGTCACTTTCACATATGACTGATAGTATCTTTCCTTCTACCCTAGGACTTCTCTGCGTCCAACAGATTCTGCTGTGTCCCCAAGCATATGACAGGAAGTGTTGGTAAGTTAGCTCCCTGGAACCTGAACTTTGACCAAAGGTAGTAGAATCTAGTGGATGAACTTTTATTCGTTTCTGTCCTCTGCCCATGGGATACATATGGTAGCTTCACACAGGCCTCTCTGAAAATATCCTGCGATACACAATCAGCTTATTTCAAAACTGTGGGCGGCTCGCTAATTCACTCCCTTATGTTTCCTTTTTTTCTCTTACTCTTCTTTTCCCTCGTTCCTACTTCCCTGAAATTATACTTCCCTGGAACTGCTCTTTTTTTCTAGAGAAGACAAGCTAAGTTAGTGTTATTCTCCTATTTGTAACCTTTGAGAAGGTGCTGGGATTTGAGGAACATTTAGAAAGATAAGTTTGTTGAACAGTGGAAAGATAATTTACTACTTATTTGTGAACCTTGCACAAGTCACTTAGTTTCTAAAAAGCAGGTTAATGCCCTTAGAATGTAAAACGTTAATGTCTACGTTGTGTACCAATAGTGGCTGTCTTGCCTGTGTTACTCTACTGTCTTGAGGCTCACATGAGATAACAAGGGGCTTGTAAACCCTTCACCTCTCTGTACATGTGCAGTGTAGCAAACCTCTACTCTTTTATCTGTCTAGTTTATCTCCTTTGGGCATGAGGCACGTCCTACCACCCTCTATCCAAATGATCACCCTAGAAATACAATAAAGTAAAATGCTGTTGCATGTCTGACCATATTTTATTGGTCCAGAGATGAACTCTTGGTCCAAGATTATAATTAGACTCCTTCTTCAGGTATTGAGGCGTGGAGCAAGGCAGGCAGTTTGTTTCTGTAACTTGAACTCTAGGATTTCAAACTCAGAAGCTGCAAGCCCTGTGTTTTATCATATGAATTCAAAAAAATGGAAGCTAGTGGGCACCAAGAAAAAGGAATAAAGCAGACCTGTAGAATTAACTAAGGGTAAGAGACGTATTTCCATGTGGTACCTGAAGACCAACTATTTTCTCATCTTTAGGTTCCATGAGGCAGTCTCATACCTTCATGGTGAATTCCCCTTTTTGGCTGGCTTGCTGTGACTTTAATCCTCCGAAACATTATTCTAAGAGTACATGTCTTTAACACAGTGGTGACCTCAGTTCAGCCCCCAGGGGAAGGTTAGTCTCAAGAAAGACACCTCCCAAGGCGGCTACTTTACCTGTGCAGAAAAGACTTCTAATTGTTGCCCCAGGAAACTAAAATACAATTTATTTATCAGACATGTTTGTAGTTCAATGAAAAAGCCAATCGTCAGTCTGTAAATAGAAGGGATAAGGAAATAGAAAAGGTGGAAAAAGTTTTTGGGGGCTGCAGGAGGGTAACACTACCTACATTATATATTAGGCTAGTGTACTTCAGGTCCTGAATATGAAACATCATATGAGATTAACCCTCTTTTTCCCAGGCAACTGGGAAATATCAACAAAGCTAGGCATTACTTCTCATTATTAGGCACACACCCAGGTCTTAACCCTTCTAC